GCAAGAAGGCAAATCACGCACATATGTGGAGGCCGAGCAAATAGTACTCTGGTTCTGGGGCAGGGAGACGGAGGGAGGCAAAGAGATAATTGTGTGTCTTATTAGACTGGCCTGTCTCTTCTTCCTCAGAAAGGAGGTTGTGGTGTGTTTTATGGACTAACCTCAGGCTGGCCTGATGCAAATGGTTTGTGTATGAGGCTAAGAACTTTGGGTTTTGCCCCCAAGGAAACAGGGAAACAATGAGTCAATTTCAGGGTAGCGTCTGTCTTCCTGTGCTGGGATGTGGTAGATGGGCCGCTGTGTGTACACGGGGTGGGGATTGGTGGGGTAGACTGCGTAGGGAGGGGGCTTCACAAGTGCTCCCCAAATTCCAATCCCACAGACACACTCCACCACTTACAACTAATTCATTGTAATGAGTTTACAAATTCTCACTCTCTGCAGAGATGAACGTTCAAGCAGGAATGTTCTAGATTTAGAAAACTGCATATTTTTTACTTACCATCACCTTAGGTGTAGACACCCTCCTGACCTTTCAGTCATTCTCTGATTCCCCCACACTCGCCTGGGGCTAGCTCACAAAACCCGCAGACAGCAGGCCTGGCTCTGAGCAGTTGTCCATCTGTCTGCTCTCCTGAACAGCAAGCAGCTGCCACTGAGTCACCCAACCATAAGCAGCATGCCTACGGCACATCCGGCCCTGAATTGTATGGTGGGCATAGAAAGGTGACAAATGTAACCAGAGTGCCTGCCTCCAAGGACCCCATAGACTGGCAGAGAACTTTTTATAGACTAGATGTGTTTTCTCCCCTGTGCTGCTCCTAACAATGCCATAAGACGCAGGTGGCATCACCTCTTTAGGAAACAGGTTTAGGGAGGTTACATGACTTGCCCGAATCACACAAATGGAATTTCTTGTCTGTCATTCTTCCCAACTTGCTTGTTAGGGGGGCACCCCTTTCCCATTCCTGATTCTCCTCTTGCATGGTGGGAACTCTGCTAGCAAAGCATGAATAGTCCCCCACTTCCTCCAGACATGGGGCAGTGACTGGAGGTGACCAGCAATGTGGAAGGAGGAACTGCACACAAGTTCCTTTCCCTTACTTCTCTTGAGACTTGAGCAAGTCTCAAAGCACAGCTGTTGTCTTCCTCCATGCCCTGTGCCCCCATCACCACCCAAAAATGTTGGCCCTGATGGGTAAGTCAGCTGACTGTGGTTACGTGGAGATGTGAGGCCAGGTAGGCTCAGCCCAGAGTTTCTGTCCTTGACACTGTATCACTCATTTGCTGGTGCTACCATACAAAGTGCCACGGGCTGGGGGGCTTAAACAATAGAAATGTACTTCCCCACAGCTAGGAGGGCTAGAAGCCCAGGATCAAGGTGTCTGAGGATTGGTTTCATTCTGAGGCCACTCTCCTTGGCTCGTAGATGGCACTCTTTCCCTGTGTGTCTTCCCTCCACATGATTGTGTCCTATTCACCCCTTCTGATAAGGACACCAGACACATTAGGTTCAGGACCACCCCAGTGACATCTTATAACCTTAATTACCTCTTGAAATACCCTTTCCCCAAACACAATCATACTCTGAAGTGGTGGGATTAGGACATCAAGCATAGGAATTATGGGTAAGGGGGCAACAATGCTGTCAGAGGAACCACTGTGCTAGGCTGTCTCTTAAATGGCTAGACAAGATTGGTACAAATATAAAAGGAATGTGAAAGAAGCTATGTAAGCCTTTGGGAATGGATAAACAAATTAATGTGGGAGTTGAAAGGAGAAAGGAATTATCTCAAGCTCCTGGAACAGGGCAGGGCTGTAAAGAAGTTAAAGGAATGTCCATCAGGGTCTTGGCCACAGGCAGCAGAGACCAACTCTGGCTTCTATAAGCATATATACATGAATGTATATATACATATAGAAGGGAAATAGGAGACTCACAGAGCACACAGAAAAGATGAAGAAACTGGTTTATGAAAAAATATAAGACAAAAAAATACACAGAAGTCTTTCCAACAGGTCTGGGTAGCAGGAAGCAATAGAAAAACCTCCCCTGATTACCTCTTCCAGAGTGAATTCACTCCACCACTTCTGCCCTTATAGTTCTCCTCTAGAGATTCAGATTCCCGGGGCAGGGAGTACAGCGGGCCTGGCTTGAGGCACATGTCCACTCTGGCTTGGGGAGTCCAGGACACCTGGAATAAGGCTGCACCCAGTAGCGGCAGGTAGGTGCCCTGAAGGGAGACCCAGGGGCTGTCACCGAGATACAGAATGAATGCTGAGTAGGCAAAAACAGTGTTACAGTGGCATGCCTCCTACTGATATTACAGCTGAGGAAACTGAGTCAGCTTTGGGAACAGCTCGTAACATAAGTGACCTGGGGCTTATTAGAAGTTCTGCTAATCCAAATGATATACTCTTTCTAGCTACCCCATAGTGCATCAGCCTGCTCTATTTCAGGGTGAATAAATTAATATATCCATAAATATTTAAATGAATAAGTGAGCAAACAAGTACATGACAAGCCAAGAATTCCAGAATTTTAATCCACCAATTTCTATATACTCTCCCTTCACTATTAAATTGAAGTGAAGGTTGAGGTATGCTTAATAACAGAGCTCCCTCTGTTTGGTCATCATTAATATTCAAGAGAGGATTTGAATCCACATAATCCACCTTTTGCAAAAGAAGAGCAAGTTCTAGTTTTCCTCCCTGTCAGCTCATCTGGGCCCCGACAAGCCGGGGAATCACCATAAGCAGCTGAACTACTGCAGGTGACCTCTGCTTTTCCTGCCATTTGGACTGTGGAACCCACCAGGAAGGGGTCACGTCTAACTGTTTGCAGCAGCAGTTAATGTATTGGTGGATCTCAGAAAAAGTAAGTTAAGATTAGCAAAGTGGATATGGTGTCATGTACATGAGAGGGAATGGCTGCAGTTCCCTGTGTGGGGAAAGGTCATTCAAATGGGGTCAGGGAGGCAGCAGATCCTGCATTAGTCATTTTTTATTTGTTTGTTTTGGTATTTAGAGCCTCCGATTATATGTCCAGTACTTCCTAAGCCCCCAAAAGACAACTAAAAGAGTAAGCCAACAGCTGATTCTCAGGAATGTTTTGTCTTTATAATTACTGGTTTTATAACTAAAACCTGAGCTCTGGAGTCTGCACTTAAAGGCCAACTCACAAGGGCACATCGCTTCTGTGATATTCTTTCCAAACACCTATAAGCTCAAACTAAATGAGACAAACATTAGACCAACCCAGACATTCCACAGGACACCTGGCCAGCATGCCTCAAGATCACTGTCAAGGTCATGAAATACAAGGAAAGGCTGAGAAACTGTAATTGACCAGAGATGAATGAGGAGATCTAACAGCTGAATGGAATGCAGAATCCTGGTTGGAGGCTGACATAGAAAGAGAACTGCGCTGGATTGATAAGTGATCCCTACTCCAAAATTTATGTTCACCCTGCACCTATGAATTTGACCTTATTTGAGAATAGGTTCATTGCAGATGTAATCACATTAAGATAAGGTCATATAGGACTGGGGTGGGCCATAAAATCAGTATGACTGGTGTCCTTATAAAAAAGAGGAAAATGTGTGCACAGAGACACAAACCAAAGGGGAGAAGACCATGTGAAGAAGGAGACAGAAATTGAAGTGATATGTCTGCAAGCCAAGTGCCTTAGTCCCTTAGGAAGGCTGTAATAAAAGACCACAAGCTGGGTGGCTTACAGATATTTATTTTGCATAGTTCTGGGGCTGGAAGTCCGAGATCAGGGCGCCAGCATGGCTGGGTGAGGGCTCTCTTCCAGGTCACAGACTTCTTGTTGTGTCCTCACATTGCGGAAAGGGGTGAGGGAGCTCCCTAGGGTCTCTTTTGTAAGGACATTAATTTCGTGCATGAGGGCTTGGCCAAGTAACCCAATGATCTAATAACCTCCGGATACCCAACTCCTAATACCACCACATTTTACATTAGGATTTCAACTTATGAATTTATAGGGGACACAAACACTCAGTCCACAGCACTAAGGGACTCTGAGAATTTCCAGCAACCACCAGAAGCTAGAAGTGGCAAAGAAATCTTCTTCCCTAGAGCCTCGGAGAAAACAGCCTTCTGGGCACTTTGATTTGGACTTCCAAACTCTAAAACTGTGAGAGAATAAATTCCTATTGTTTTAAGACATCCAGTTTATGGTATTTTGCTATGGCCACCCTAGAAAACTAATATATAGACATTAATATAGGGATAAAGAACAAATGGAAGGACATAAAAAGAAATGGCGACATCGAGATAAAGACTGGAGTTTAGTTTAATAGTAACATACCGATGTTGGTTTCTTAGTTTGACAAGTGTGCCACACTAATATAAACACTCAGTCCCCCATTGACAATGGGGTGAACTGGATGAGGATTATAGCAGAAGGCTGTGCGCTGTCTTTTCAGGTTTTCTGTAAATATATAATTATTCTAAAATGCAAAGGTTATTTTGGAAAAAAAAGGTCAGCTCACAGGCTGTGTTACCTTTGGATGGTCACCTCCCTAAGCTTGGATCTTCTCATCAGAAACATGGAGATAATAATAGCCCCACTGAGGGTTGTATTTAAAATGTGATAATGTATATATATATATATCAAGTACTTAGCAGGTCACATCTCTCCTCATATTGGTTGTCACTTGATCGATTTGTCAGTCCTTCCAAATTGATGCCACAGTGAATTTGCCCGGTCCAGGCCCTCATCGAAGCTATCGTTTAACATTTTCAGAAAGGAGAGGCTGCTGCTGGGCTCAGCGTCAGTGTCTGCACTGACCGGGGTGGTCTTTCGACGTCATGAATCCAGCTAACTCCTGTGTTACTTCTGAGACTAAAGTCTAGGCATCCTATGAATCAACATTCCCCCCGTCCACTAGTTGAATAACCTTAATAAAATAGAAATGGGGCCAGTCTAGGGCAGACATGATGCTTTCCTTATCTCTTACAGGTGACCACGTACCATCATGGGAGGTGGAGTCTGCCTCACCAGGTTCAAACCCTGGCCATACCGCTTACTCGAAGTGTGCCATTGGGCAAGCTGGTGACTCTCTTAGACTCAGTTCCCAAATCTGTAAAAGAAGGGCAAAAGTCTCTTCCTCATAAAGTTGTTACGAAGCTTACATTAAACAATGCACACAAAAAGCTAAGCCAGGGTTCTTTGCACCCAATTAGCATTGGCACTTACTAGTGTGTGTATGTACCGTGTGAGCGCGTGTTTTCCTTGCCTTCTACAGTGGCTGACATGTCAGGAGCACAAAAAATTGTCTGTTTCATGAAAGAAACCGTTTATAAATGAGGACATTATGGATTGAAAAGAGATTGACCTGACCAAGTTCACATCCCAAGAGAAGAGCAGAAAGACCAGTGGGACACAGGACTTGTGACTCCGAGGGCACTTATTCTGCAGAGCTCAGGAATACTCTCATTGCTTTTATTTCATAGATATGGAAACTGAATACCAAATAATCAACAGGGTTTGTCTAGGGCACCATGATTTGTTAGTGGCAAATATCATGCCTCCATCTGTGTGATTCAGCTCCTAGTCTAGGCTTTTTTCTACCTTCTCTTGATTTTAAGTGGCACCTGGTAAAATCTATGCATGAAGCATCCAGTCGCCCTGAAAGAGCTGCCTGCTGATATGTAGCATCTCAGAGGCCAAACACAGTTCTGAGGGCTGCTAGACCTTTGAGCAAGGGCAGTGAGGATGAGGACAGTAAAGCCACGGCAGCTTTGACTAAAACGCAGTGCTTGGCTGAAAGACCTGGGGCTGTATCTTGATGTAAATACTGAAAAAGTCTCAGGAATCCCAGAGATTTTGGCAGCTTGCATCACAGCTAGGCAGTACTTTGGACACTCAGGGACAGGTTAGGAGGGAGCCTGCATATTCCAGCCCAGCTCTGTCTGTCTCATTCATACTGTGGAACTGTGAGCAAATCACTTTTCCAATCTGTGCAACAGTTATTACTAGAAATAATGGTACCAGAGAGTTTAAAAACACTTTACAGTCTTCAAAGAGACATTCTGACTCCTAGACATTGTCTCGTTTGAGCCTCACAACAAATCTTCAGGTTATGATTGTTATAGCCATAAAATGGATAAGAAAATGGGTTCAGTGAGATAGAGTGGTGGTGTTTTATTGACAGATATCTATTATCAGCAATGAACATAAGGAAAGTAGCAGTTGCTAATCTTTGCTGAGCATGCATCATTATTCCAAGCGTTTTAAATATATCTATCATTTAATTCTCATACAACTCTGTGAGGTTGGAGATACTGTTACCCAGTTTTATTCTAAGCCACAGAAAGGTTAAGCAAGTTGCCTGAAGTCACACAGCTAGGAAATGTTGTCAGAAGGTGAGCCCAAGGAACCCAGCTCCAGAGCCCATTTTCTTACTGAACTGTAACAAATGTAAACTTTTACTAAACAATGAGGTTTGGGGCTGAATAAGATACAGACACACCCCTCTCCTTAAAGAGCTCACAGACTAATTTGAGGAAATTGACATGTAAATTAGATCACCACAATTCAGTAAGATAAAGAAGTATAAGATATACTGTTAGAGCAATGACACAGGGGTGACTAAAATCAGTACGGTGGCACTCGGATTAAATCCCAGACTTCCTGACTGCATAATCCATATTCATTCACTCTTCACTTCATCCGAACCACACTTAATACTAAGTGTTAGAATTGTAAATAATAATAATAAAAAGATATTGTTCTCCTAAAGAACCAATAATTACATTACAGAGAAAACATTTTCCAAACCACTTCAGGACAACAGACTTCGTTCCAACATGAACACACTGAGAATCCTTCAGTCACAAACTGAAGGGAGGGCTATGTAGCTCTCCGATGCCCCACCGCATCCTCCCCCCCAACCACCTGCCCTCATGAAGAGGCGCCGAGGAGCATGCCATTCCACTCGAATTAGCACTGGGGGCCTGACTTCATGTAACCCTGAGATCAATCGATTTCACTAATGCAAACTTAATTGTGGCCCCTTTAATCCCCATAGAGATTTATTTTCAATAAACTGGTGCTGGCTTTGCCATGAGAACTCTGGTGGAGGGTCTGAGTCCCACAGAGCTCCAGGAATGTGGCAACTGTCAGTACATTCTTGACATGACAGCTAGAGTTTTTGAACTAATCCTCACAAAAATGTCTTTGAAGGATGTGGTCAGACTTTCCACACTTACTCCTTTTGGAGTCAGAATTATCTCAGAATACACTTTTCCCCAAGTTTTGAGGGTAGGGAGGGATGAGATTGCAATTAGAAAGAGCTAAAGATGAAATTTTATTCCTAAAATAACTAAAAATCCAGCTATAAATTTCACTATCAAGCCCAGAGCATGTGAGCTAAAACTATAAAATATGCCTGCTTCAACAGCATGACTTCCAAATAGGGCCAAAAGTTCTTACATTTGCCCAAATAATCACCAGCATGCCCACCTAGCCTATTAGCAGAAAGGCTAAGACTTGAGTCCTCTCCAACAACTGGTGTGTCACCAGTAGAAGTGTGTCACCAGTAGAAGTGTGTCACCACAGTCATCCCACCTAAAAGGGAGGGCTGCGGCTTTACTCTACTTTTAAAAACAAGAGGAGAGAACTCATGCCTAATCTGCCAACTCTCATGTCTTCTTGCGGCTGCATTGGGCTGCTGTCAGACTGGCCCTACGTAACTTGACACCTGATGCATGTCCACTGCTACAAAGATGGCCTTGATGGTCTAAGTCATTGACCAGAGCACAGAGAATCTCCACGTTGGGCGACAAACTTGACCACTTACTCCCAAAGCTTAACCAGTGCACTTACGTCCAGTTTCAGCCACTACTGTACCCCAACCAGCTCTCCCCTACGCCTCTCCTCTGTCAGTGCTTCCACCCACCTAGGCACCTCCTCTGCAGATCTTTTTGATCTTTTGCATCACTGGGGGGCTTCAACTGCACCACCTGGCCCATCCTGGCCCATCTTCCTAGCCTCAAATTTTCCTGGCTTCATGTTGTCCTCGGATGATTAATGCGAACTGGTCTTCCTTTTCCTCCTGAGGGGTCAGTTTTGCAGACCAGGAATCTCAGCGATGAACACCTTGATCAAGTTCGTACCTTCCTCATTCCCTGCTACTCCTCAAGGAAGCCTGTTCCTTCTAAATTTATGCAACTGAGGAGTCATTTGGTGACTGTCTTTGGAACAGAGACCTCCTTCAGAACCTAGTCAGTATCTCCAGTTCAAGAAGAGGCTGGCGTTATTCTGTAGTATCTCTCCTAACAGTTCCACCCTGATAGCAGCAGTGAACACACAGAAAGCCCCAAATGCTGAAGGGTGTGTATGTGGGACGACAGCATTTCCTTTTCTCATAACATAGCGACGTGCTACATCCTCAGAGTAACTAGGGTGGCGTGGATCACCACTGGACAAGTTTGTTGGGTGGGAGGGAAAGCAGCAACAGCAGACGGCTTTGTCCACCATTTACTCTGCTGGCCTAGAGACCAAGCAATTAGGAGCAAGCCTACCTGGTTGCCAGCTGACTGGAGGAGGGCAACCCCAGGGAGGGGATGGGGTAGACTTGAAGGGAGGCTCCAGGACTCAGCCTCTGCCCCAGCCTAACTTGTGACTGAATTTAGCCAGCAACCCCTGTGAGACTGAAGGACTGGGCAGGCTGCTGCTGTGAACTCTAGGTACAGATTTGTGCAGGAAAACTGCCCTGTTGAGCTGAGAATCACGGGCCCTTACCTGTGTTTGTTTCCACTGCCTTCGCCTGTTGGTCTTTCTCCAGGGTTCTCCTGGTCAAATAAATCAATTAAAAACATCCAGTGCTGGAGGAACATAAACACAGGCAGTGGGAGAGGGCCTGGAGGGCCAAGTTCTGTTTTCAGTTCCTCTGGGTTTCAAAGCACGTTCCACAGTATAACCCCCACCACCATGGCAAACCTGCCTTTGATGAAACATAATGTACGATTTCTGATGTTGACACAGAACAGATGGGACTTTGATTTTTTAATCTGTTCTCAATAGAAGAAAAATAGACATAATGGATTTTTTTTGGATTTGGGCTTGTTTCCCACCCCGCTCTTCAAATGCATTCCAAACTCCAAGAGCCCTTCAGTTCTGTCTCCTTGTTTGTCATTGAACCCTCCACACCTGGGAGTCTTGGGTGGACTGGGCCTTGCTTAGTAACCAGATAGGATGAAGGGCACTGCCCCTACGTCCCCTCCATCTGGTGCAAGAGAGCACCTGTGGGAGCTGCACAGCAAAAGAGAGTCCTCAGACTTACGGCCAATGAAATAGTGGCTTGTCAACAAATACAAGCTGGCTGGGGGACTAGAGAGGCAGTTAGCCTCAACTACCCCAGACATTGCTATAATCCAAGTGAAAACAGTGGATGTGCATGCAAAACTGACTTCAAGACAAATCCCAACCGAGTGCAGCCCATCAGTCCTTCCTAAACAGGCCTTCCAGAGCCACCCCTGGTCACAATATGCCCTCCCAGGAACTGCCAGCAGAGATCCTTTGAGCATCGTCTACGCACAGAATGTTCTTTGGTTGGGGGATGTCCACCCCCACAATTCCATTCCCATGACAACAGTTGTCACAGCGGCTGACTCCAGCACACATTGTGCAAAGGGCCATGCCCTGCTATATTCACCCGGAACTGATTGGATGATAATAGGTGCAGTTAGATGGCTGCTCAAGTCAAATTTCAAATTTTATTTACTCTTGGACTTTATTTCCTCCTACCCAAAAAGGAAACGAAGAATTTTAAAGAGAGAGGAAAAACACAAGAAGGCACTGTGGGTTATGATGGTGAGGATTCTGCCCTGTGTTGAGAGTGGTCTGGCCTTCGGTCTCAAGTGGACAGGCAACCCAGGCAGTCAGATTGATTCAAAGGAATAAAAGGTAGTCTTGTGTGAAAGAGTGAGTGCGGGCTCTGTGGGCCTCCTCAAGTCCTGCTCGGTGTCCCACCATTCTCAAGGGGTTGGTGGGGCAGGAGGAGAGTTGGGGGAGGTGTACTGGCTCACCAAAGTTGCAGGATTCCAACCTGGGATCTCACGCTCTCCCAGATACCAG